AGACAGCAGCAAAATATATCATCACCTCATTGAGAAAGGTGTCAGAGCAGGCACGCTGAATTAACTGGTTAAGTTCACAGAAAAAGTGTGGGATTTCCAAGTTTGTGCAGAAGGACAGCCGCAATATCATTAAGCTTTGTAACAATGCATGTAAGACACTCACAACCCAGGACACCAGAACTAGCAATCCACAGAGCCTTTGGTTCATGATGACCATGTAGTGCAGGGGGTGACAGATGGCCACAAACCGGTCATAGGCCATTGCCGTCAAAATGAAATCATCCAACCCAGCAAAGAGTAAAAAAAAGCACATTTGGCTGATGCAGCCTGCATAGGTAATAGCCTTACTCTGTATCTGGATGTTCACCAGCATCTTGGGGATGGTGGTGGAGGTGAAGCAGGCATCCACAAAGGACAGGTTGGAGAGGAAGAAGTACATGGGTGTGTGCAGGTGGGAGTCTGAGATGGTGGCCAGGATGATGAGCAGGTTCCCCAGCACAGTGACCAGGTACATGGACAGGAAAAGCCCAAAAATGAGGGGCTGCAGTTCTGGGTTCTCTGCAAGTCCCAGAAGAAGAAATTCTAAATGTTGAGTATCATTTCCTGGTTCCATATGCATGTGACTACCAGAAATGAGAAAAAAAAGTATAACTAATTTTCCCATAGACAGGTATTACTTACATTATTGAAATGAAACAATACATGTTTTGCTGTAAATAATAATTTCAGTGATGGGTTTGTAGCTCATGTTGGAGTGGCTGCCTAACATATGCAAGGCCCTGGTTACAATCCATATACCTCAAAAGAGAAAAAAAAACTAAGGGAAAGGAATGAAGTTAACTTCTACAGAACATGTGTGGCTCTTGTCCTCTATTAATGAAATAATCAATCTTATCATTGGAGACAACACAGATGAACCCGGGGAACACTTATGAAGTGAAATCAGCCAGGTACAGGAACACCAAAGCTGCATGATATCATTCCTGTGTGGATTCTGAGAAATCTGATCTCATAAAATTTCAGCATATTATGATGGTCACCAGAAGCTGAGGTGCATTCTGGGCCCAAAGGATGACGTTAAGCTTTTCAAGGGGAAAAAAATTACAATAAGAGACAAGGAATAGCTTCTGGTGATGTATTGCACAGTAGGGTAATTATAGTTAAACATAACATGTTACCTATTTTAAAATAGATAGAGGGGAGGACTTTGAATGTTGGTCACAGAGAAATGATAAATGTTTCAAAAAATTAAGCCAATCATACTTGTTCAATTATTATATGATTTATACATGTTTGTAAATATAAATTTAGTTTTGTGAACTTGTATAATTATGTCAATTAAAAATAAAGCAACAACTAATTATTGAGTACCAATTATCATCCACACATTGGATCAGTAATCTGTATGAGTTAAAACACAGAAGTCCCCATTATCCAAAGAGAGGGAAAGAACATAAGCAAAAATGTTTAAACTCACCTAATATGTCCCATGGCGATGGGTATCTAAGAGGAAAAAGAAAGAGTGAGAGGTAGTTGTACTTTTAATGCAATGCAGGGAAAACCAGCAGGAAGAGGGTCCTCCAAGCAGAGACCACAAGGAAGGCAGAGCAGAAGCTACAAATCATCCTCAGTGGGGTGGTCTTCACTGGGGGGGGACATGTTCTAAGGAACATGTTTGTTTCAAAAATGAGGCATAAAAGAAAGCTGTTGGCAAGGAGGAGGAAAAAGATGGAGAGTGATGAGAGATGGTGTCAGAGAATATTAAAGAATGAGCTGGCCTCACTGCTCTCTGAGGCTACAAGGTACAGGGAGTAATTCATCCTCTCCCTGAACCTCGTGCCCTTAGACTTGCTTCAGACACATTCTGTGGATTGCAAAAGGATTCCCTCCTTGCTACCATCTGTGGGTTAAGTTCTGGCCTCTAGCTGCTAAGAATCACTTTGGAATATATAAGATCAGGTTGCCCTTTCTGAGCCCTCCATGAGGCGAACACACTCACTCACACACTCTCAGAGCCTGATTTCTGCCATGGCCTCTCAGCACCAATCACCCTGACAAGGTTGTGAGCTGGAGAATGTGGACAGGGTACCTGGATATCCCACTCGACAATCTTTCAATGAACAAATGAGTGAACTCACCTTAGATACAAACAGAGATATGATACATCATGGTATAAAGGTGTATTATGAAGTGAAATGAAAAAAAAACAATGAGAGCGCATGTATAATGGCATAATTTGGTGGAAACATACTTTATATACAGAGTTATGAAAAATTGTGCTGTGAATGGATAATTATGAATGTAAAGCATCCCACTATTGTCACATAAGAAAGTAATAAAAAAAGAATGCTGCCCTTCTTCCCTGTGTTTAAAATGAGCAAAAAAATCTGCGCAGTCAATGAGGGAGAAAGAGAAATAGAGAAGGACGGGGAGTGAGAGAAAAGAAGGCAGAAGGCAAAGGGGTGGACAGAACATGAAGAGGTGAGGGCAGAGAGAGCTGACGTGGACCCAGGGGAGCAGGACCTTGCAAGCCCAGGTGTCTCTTCTCCAGGAGGAAAAGGCTGCCTTGGTCCTGGCAGCGTTCCAAACCCAGTGACCCTCGCTGGGTGCCCAGCACAAACCATAAGCAGCAAAATAAATTTTCCGAAAACACCAAACTAGTGACATCATGTTCTTAATCTACATTTTAAATGTGTTTATTACTGCATTGCAGTGATGCATAATGTTGGGGCCATTAAATATTTTTAGTTGTAGATGGTCAAAATACCTGTATTTTATTTATTTATTTTTATGTGGTCTGGAGAATTGAACCCAGTGCCCACACGTGTTAGGCAAGCTATCTGTCCCTGAGCCCCAGCCCCAGACCTGTCGGAGTCACTTTGACACAATCTCACATGCAGTCCCTCCTCTCCTCCATGCCACTGTTCCTCCTCCTTGTGTCAAGGCACCTCACAGACCATACACTTCAAAAGAAAAAAAAATTATCAAAGTTCAAAAATCAGCAATTCACAAGAGGAGATATTCAATGCACCTACAGCAAAGTGGGGACCTTTGAATATGAAATAGCAGATCTGCCTTCCCTAGTTCTGCCTCATTCACCTGACCTATTGGCTTGTCCCTAGTTATGTTGCAGATAAGGCAGCCTTTTCTCACTATTTTAAAATTCATACAGAATCATTGTGTCTCTTCACTGAGTATATATGTGATCATTCCATATATGTATGTGCTGTGTGGCAATCACATCAGGGTAATTAGCCTTTCAATCTCTTTAAGTCCTTACTCTACTTCATTATCTTTTTACTTTGCTTGTTTTGTGTGTTTGGAAACATTTCATGATTGTTCTTGGGTTTGGGGCTTTTTAAATTTTTTTATACATGTTATTTTGTTAGACACAATAATTATATGTTTATGGGACATATCGTGATGTTTTGTTACATGAAAATATTGCATAATGAACAAGAAAGGGTACTAGCAAGAAAATGTAAAAATAAATTGCTAGAGCATTGGGAAAAAAAGATAAGGAAGTAGAGTAAAAACTTATAATTGAATCTTTTATATCTAAATATAAACAAACTCGAGTATACATGTGCATGGTGGATATGATCTCTAGTAAATGATGAGGAGCAATGCCTACATTGAACCATGGAAAATCAAAAGGCACAGACCTAAGGGAGACATGAAAATAAGTTGAAAATATATTGAAAAGTTGACTTATTAGTGCAAGGAGTGCGAAAGAACTTTCACCAGCATTTTCATCTCAAGCAAGGATTCACAAGTCAAGAAACGTGCAATTGTTGAGTCACATTTTTCAGAATGAAAAACCCTGCCAGGAGCCCAATAGCAAACACTGATCTATTGGAAAACATTAGAATCTGTAGACTTCAGAAACTCCCCACAGATACATCTCCACTTATGTGCTGTGCTTATGTAAATTAAACTAGGGTCAACATGCAAAATCAGTGGAAAAAAATAGAATGAGAGGGAATACACTCTGCCTTAAGCAAAGGGTCTTAACAATTTGAAATAGAGAGGTCGATGGCCATCCCACTGACTTCATCTTGACAAGTTGAGAAATCCTTGCAATGAAAAAAACTCTTTGGCATACTCGTCTTCACTAATTAAGTGAGTTCATTTTCCATGTGGATACCCAGAGAGGAAGAGGATTCAATGAAATATCTATATAATGATTTTCTCAAGCAGGAATTTATTTAGAGAAATTCCTAAATCTGGAAGTTTCTCACCAATATGAAAATGGGCTGAAATATATTCCATTATATATTTTTTAAATGAGCTCCCTCCAGTGCATGTAGCTCCATACTTAATACTAGATTTACCCATTCCCCTTCATTGCAAAGGACGCAGACTTACATTTTACTTTATTTGAATCACTTCATGCCTCTCATCCCTCTTCTAATTGAGATTCTGTCACCATAAGTTAATGGTCAACAGTGACCCCGTGTTCCTGATTTCTTGGTCACTTCTCCTTTTTAGTACCTTATAAATCCATTAATAAATTAATTAAGCTAGCAACAGACACCACCATCTCTGGGCTGCAGGCCAGGCTAGTTGGGCTCTCAGGGAACCTCAGGTGGAAGCTCCTGCCTTCATTCTCTTCAGTCCTCTCCTGCAGTGTCTGCTGGGTCCTCAGGCTCACCTGGGTGGCATCTCTGGTGGGAGGGTCTTCATGCACAGGCTTCAGTTCTTCCCTGGATGTTGAGGGTGCAGAGTGAGGCTCTGACATCAGACAAGAGAACAGAAATGGATCCAGCTTTGGTCCTCAAGTCAGATTTGAAGATCCTGAAGAATCAAGTGTGCCCCAGGGTGTGCACTCAGGGAGGGCAGGAGCAATCACAGCCTACAGCTTTCTCTATCTGCTCATTAGGCACATGACCTTCTTTTTACTCCAACCTCTAAGCACCTGATTTCCCTGCAGGACTCTGGTCTACAATCAGGAAAGGAAGAGTTTAGATAGATTCCCCTGAGATCAGAGTGGAGGGCTATTAATCTGCCCATTTTACCACCAAACCATGACCTCACCTTCCCCATGTCCCACCACCCATCACCACATCCACCCTTTGTGTTCTGCTTTTCTTCCCAGGTCTCAAACTAAAAAACCAGTCCTGGTTAGGTATCTTGTGCCCTCCAAACACTGACTCACATTGGGGACACAGTCTTTGGCATCTCCAGAAGTTTTCTCTGTCCCTTTTTAACAGAAGACTGAGCTGTGTTTTTTGAAATGCAAAACCATAAGACAGCACCTCCTGCACTCATCACACTTTGCTAACAGTACCAGAATTCTCATGCTGGTAATGAACATACATTTTTATAATGAGGGACCAAATGATGGTTCTTGATTTCAGATGTGAGTATGAGTTTGATAGAAACTAAATATCCTGCTATGTTATTGATGAGGTTGCCTGAACAGAGGATCTCAGGACTCTGGCAAGAAGAGAAGAGTGTGGGGTTCTCATGTGTGTGCAGAAGGGAGGCAGTAGGAGAGGTTCTTAAGTAGTTAAAGCCACATTGTAAATCACACATCAATCTGTACCGTCTCCCTGAGTCTCTACACAGCAGAGAATAGAACAATGAAACATCAGATGCCAACATTTCTTATTGTCCCAAATCTGTTTATTTCAATATCCAACATTTTTACTCCAATCAGAAAGCAAACTTCACCACAGTCTTCTGTACATTTTATGTCTGGATTGACAGAAAGCCACAGCCCATTATCAACAAGTCAGTGTTCTCTTTCATTTACCTGCTCTTGTTTGAAGAAAGTACACAGACTAATTTTAATCACAGGATGCACCATGACAGCAAGACAGCTTACAGTCACATGGGACAAAGTGAACAGTGGTCACAGGTTCAAGAGGAAAGGGAAACACATCAAAATGTGAACAGTTTATAAACGGCTTCCTCAGATGTCCCTCACTTTTTTATTTATAATTTTTAATTGAACTTAATTGGAGAAAATTGTAGATTAATGGGCAGTAGTGAAAACTGTCAGGAAGAGATCCAAGTACCCTTTCATGAGCTTCCACCATGGTAACACTGAGCAAAATATCACATCCAGGTATTTACACTGATAACAAGGAAATGAAATCACAGCAAAGAGAATCGTCCATGGCCATGTTCACTGTAGCATCATTCACAATAGCTATGCTGTGAAGTCACCTAAGTGCCCATCACCTGATGAGAGGAGGAAAGAAACGTGGCATATAAACAACTTGAACATACTCAGCCACATGTAAGGATGAAATCCTGTTATTTGGGGCCATGTGGATGGAACTGCATGTTATTGTGCTAAGTGAAGAAGGCAGATACCAAAATACAAGTACTTCATGGTGTCTCAAGAGGAGGTTAAAAAAAAAGTAAAATGTCACCCTGAACATAGGAGAGAGATTACTAGATGTTGGGAAGGGGTTGGAGAGGGTGGATAAAGGGAGGATGGATTTGATCAGTGCACACTGTTGGCAGGTGTGGAAATATCATGCTGAACCTCACATTTAAAATAATTTATGATCATAAAAAAATACAGAATAGCTCCCATCTGTCACGTGTTCCAATTTTGCCTTGTTATAGCCCCATCTACACCCCTCCCTGCCCAGAGCCTGGACCGTCAAACCATTAATCTATCAACCATTTATATATTGTTAGCATTTAAAATGTATTGTCTAGCACATAGAAATATGTGCCTGGGAAAATGTTGAAGTAGATAACTCTGGGAACCTGTTCTGCCCATGACAATATTAGGACTGTGGACACCATGCTGAAAAAGAAACAGGATCCAAAAATTGAGAATAAAACATAATGATCAGCTAACACCATGTTATCAAAGGCTACCTTATGAAGATTGTAAGTTCTGGAAGTCATACAGGAAATAAATCATGAACACACAATTGAAGATCTATTCTCTGTCAGGCATGGTGGTGGATGCTTCTAATCCCAGTTACTGTGGAGGATGAGGCAGGAGGATCAAGGATGAAGGTCAGTCTCAGCAATTTAGTGAGTCCCTAAATGCTTAGCAAGACACTATATCAAACATAAAACAGAAAAGTCCATGAATAAGGCTCAGTTGTTGAGCACCCTTGGGTCCAATCCATAGTACTAAAAATATTTTTTCTCATAGTAGCTTCCACAATAATGTTATGAAATTATGCTCAGTTGATGAATGTTATTTTCATGTTAATACAAATTAGGACTCTTTTTAGCAAAATATACAATTTATTAGCATGACATGTTATTTGAGATTAAATTATTTCAAAAATTATATCTTATGGGACAAATGAGAATTTTCAAGTATTTATCATCCAAACATGGGAATGATTTTGGGAAAGTTCAGAAATGACAGATGAAAAGGATTGAATTTCATAGAGATCACAATGTTCAATAAAAATGTCTCAGTGCAATTGTATGAGGAACTCAAAATCAAAAAAATGGAAATGCAGGAATAAAGGAGAAGGAGCAAGTTCTGTTTCCAGGTTCTGATACTGAAAATCAGTTCTGATCTCTGAGGCTCTGAGCCTTGCAATCATGGGCACTTATTCAGTTTTAGTAGAATTGACACTTTAATGTTTCTCACAGAGTCTTCTCAGAGCACTCTTGATGTCCTTATTCATCAGACTGTAGATGAAGGGGTTCAGCATGGGGGTGACCACAGTGTACATCACAGAAGCAGTTGCAATGGAGTGTAAGTTTTGGGTCACAACACCTAGGCTTGTGCCATAAAATAAGGAAACCACAGAGAGGTGAGATGCACAGGTAGAGAAGGCTTTGTGCTTCTCCTGAGCTGATGAGATTGCACGGATGGAGAACACAATTTTGCAGTAAGAGTAAAGGATGCCAACGAGGGGGCCACCAGTCAGCAATAGAGCAGCAAAATATATCACTACCTCATTAAGAAAGGTGTCAGAGCAGGCACGCTGAACCACCTGGTTAAGTTCACAGAAAAAGTGTGGGATTTTCAAGTCTATGCAGAAAGACAGATGCAACACCATTAAGCTTTGCAAAATTGCATGTAAAAAACTCCCAACTCAGGACACCAGAACTAGCATTACACAGAGCTGACTATTCATGATGACCATGTAGTGCAAGGGTTGAAAGATGGCCACATACTAGTAACAGGCCAGCACAGTCAACAGAAAAATGTCTAACTCAGCAAAGATAACAAAAAAAGTGAATCTGGGTGATGCAGCCTGCATAGGAAATGGCCTTGCTCTGTGTCTGGATGTTCAGCAGCATCTTGGGGATAGTGGTGGAGGTGAAGAAGTTGTCCACAAAGGACAGGTTGGAGAGGAAGAAGTACATGCACGTGTGCAGGTGAGAGTCTGAGATGACAGCCAGGATGATTAGCAGGTTCCCCAGCACAGTGACCAGGTACATAAACAGGAAAAGATCAAAGAGGAAGGGCTGCAGTTCTGGGTTCTCTGCAAGTCCCAGAAGAAGGAATTCTAGACGTTGAGTATGATTCCCTGGTACCAAATGCATGTGACTACCAGAAATGAGAAAAAGAGCATAACTTATTTTCCCATAGACAGGTATTTCTCACATCATTGAAAAGAAACAATACATATTTTTCTTTAATGAAATTAATTTTAGAAATGGGTGTGCAGCTCAGTGGAGGAGTGCTTGTCTAACATGTGTAAGGCCCAGGATTCCATCATTATCCCCAAAATAAACAAAAAGAAAAAAAACAATGGAAAGGAAAGCAATTAATTTCTTTTTTTAATATTTATTTATTTATATTTATTTTATCGGCGGCACAACATCTTTGTTTGTATGTGGTGCTGAGGATGGAAATCAGGCCGCATGCACGCCAGGAGAGCATGCTACCACTTGAGCCACATCCCCAGCCCCGAGTAATTAACTTCTATAGAACGTGCATGTGTCTGTCATGTCCCCCTAAAGGATGCTGTGCCATATCTGTTGATGAGTTTCTCTTTCACTCTCAGAGTTTTGCTAGGAAGTCATGTATTTCAGAATTCTAAAGGGAAAATTAATAGTGCCTTTGAGAAGTATAAAAGGAGCACCCCTTATGTGCACTCTGTTTGTTCCTATAACTTATGTACAGTGAACAGTGCATCAGTAAACATGGAAGGACAGATATTGCCTACTACACCCATTTCATTTCCTCTGACTATATTCCCAATACTGTGATTGTTGCATCATGTGATAACTGCATTTCAATTTTTAGAGAACTTCCATAAAGTTTTTCAAAATGGCTTCATAAATTTGCATTCCAAACAATTCTGGATAAGGAGTTTTTTCCCTCTACATGTTCACTGGCCCTTATTATCTTTGAACATTTTACAATAAACCTTCTAACTGGAATAACTTGTCTTATTTCAGCATGGCCTCTCAGCCCTAATCACCCTGACAAGGCTGTGAGTGTCCACAACACAGCTGAGATGATCAGTTCCCTACAGATTGTGGCCAGGGCACCTGGAGAGTCCACTCAACACACTTTCCATGAACACATGAGCAGACCCATTTAAGAAAGCTGCCCTTCTTACCTGTGTTTACAAAGGGGCATGAAAAGCTCAGTCAACACAGGGACGAAAAGAAAGAGAGAAGGATGGGGAGAGAGAGAGAAGGAGAGAGAAGGCAAAGGGGTGGACAGAACATGAAGAGGTGAGGGCAGAGAGCGAGCTGACGTGGACCCAGGGAACAGGACCTTGCAAGCCCAGGTGTCTCTTCTCCAGGAGGAAAAGGCTGCCTTGGTCCTGGCAGCGTTCCAAACCCAGTGACCTTAACTGGTTATGGTTTATAAACAATAAAAGTATGTTTTCTAAAAGAAAAAAAGTGACTATTTTTTAACCTCCTTTTAAAATGTTTTATTATTTCTTTGCAGTGATACATAAGGTTGGGGCTATTTTTAAAGTGTTTTTATCTGTAGGTGGACACAATACCTGTATTCTATTTACTTATTTTTTGTGTGGTGCTGAGGATCCAACCCAGTGCCTCACACCTGCTAGGCAAGCCCTCTGCCCCTGAGCCCCAGCCCCAGCCCTGTTGGGGTCATTCTGACACAATCTCACATGCAGGGAATCTGTTTTGCTCCCCTTCAGTCCCTAGTACTTTCCCTCCTTCCCCTCCTCCCTCCCACTCTTCCTCTTCCTCATGCCAAGGCGTCTGACAGTCCATACACATTAGAAAAAATGACCAAAGGTCAAAAATCAACAATTGGCAACAGGAGATATCCCAAGTACCTACAGCAAAGTGGGGAACTTTTAATAGGAAACAGCAGATCTGTCTTCCTGTTGCTGTTCCTTTCACCTGATCTACTGAGTTTTCCCTAGATTCACAACAGATACAGCAGGGCTCTTTCTCCCTGTTTTAACATTCACACAGCATCATTGTGCCTGTTCACTGAGTCTATAGGTGATAATCCACTATATGTGTGTGCTATGTGGTGATCAAATCAGGATAAGGAGCTTTCAATCTCCTTTATCACTGACCATTTCCTTGATTCCATTTTTTTTGTATGTGACATGAATTCCTGGTTGATCTTGGGTTGGTTTGTTTTTTTGTTTTTAATTTTCTTATAAGTGTTATTTTTTAGACACCTAATAACTATATAGATTTATTCGGTATATTGTGATGTTTTGATACACGAATAAATTTTATAGTGATCAGATCAGGTTGCTAGGAGTAAAATGTAAAAATAAGTTGCCGGACTCTTAGAAATAAAAGATCAGGAATTCAGATGTAATGTTGTGATTTATCTAAGGAAAAATAAACTCAAATTTACTTGTGGACGATGGACATGATCTTTATTCAAATGATGAAGAGGAGCACCTTCCAACAGCTGGCCAAATGTGCGAGGCTTCTGGAAATACACCTGTATCAAAGTGTGGAAAATCAAGAGGCACAGATACATAAGAGATAAATGAAAACATTTTGGATATATGTAGAAAAGTTGATTTATTAGTGCACAGCAACTTTTACGAGCATATTCGATAAAGTGGGAATTCACAATTGAAGAAATATCACATTGTTGAGTCTAATCCTTCATAATGAAAAGCCCTGGCAGGAGCCCAATAACAAACACTCATCTATTGGAAGACATTAAAATCTGTAGACATTCAGAGAGTCCCCACATATACATCTCCACATAGGTGCTGTGCTCATGGAAAAGGAACAAGTGGCAACATTCTGTTTGAAAGAATGAAATGCCAAAATAAAAAAGAAAGACATAAATGGGAAGGAATACCCTCCAATTCAAAGCAAACTGTTTTAAAAATCTGAAATAGAGTAGTCAACATCCCCCCAATGCACTTACTTGAGGTTATGAATTAATTATAATATAAAACTCTTTAGCATACCTATTTTTCAATTATTAAGTAAATTTATTTTTCATGTGGATAATACCAAGAGTGGAAGAAGATTCGGTGATATATCTATATTAGGAGTTTCTGATACAGAGATTCTTTTACAAAAAAATTCCTATATCTGAATCTTTCTCACAAATATTAAAAATGTGCTGAAATATGCTCCATTGTAATTTTTTTAAAAGGATCTCCCACCAGTGTACATCCCTCTGCTGTTCATTCTGGGTTGATCCATTCCCTTTCCTTGCAAAGGTACTCAGACTCACATTCAATTTGATTTGAACCTTCACACCACTCATCCAGCTTCTAATTGAGCTTCTGTTACCATAAGTTGATGGTCAACAATGACCCCATGTTGCTGATTTCTGGGACACTTTTAGTATCTTATAAATCCATTAATAAATTAATTAATCTAGCAAAGGACACCACCATCTCTGGGCTGTAGGCCAGGCTAGTTGGGCTCTCAGGGAACCTCAGGTGAAAGCTCCTGCCTTCATTCTCTTCAGTCCTCTCCTGCAATGTCTGCTGAGTCCTCAGGCTCACCTGGGTGGCATCTCTGATGGGAGGGTCTTCATGCACAGGCTTCAGTTCTCTCAAATTTCAAAATGAAACGTGATTTTATATGTACTTACAGATTTGTGTGGGTGGATGACTCAACTCTTAAGAAAATTACAAATCCACAGGCACACATGTCGTATTTACACCTGGTACCATGACCACTTTCTGTGGACCCACAAAGTATTTCCACACACTTCATTTATTCCTCATAACATTGTTCTAACATTATGCTTGTTTCCCTAGATTAACACCACTGAGGGGTGTTAACTTTCTTGATATTAATTTAATGGTGTCATTTCGATGTCACATATTTTAGGGCATTATAGGATATTTCCTTACTTGTATACACTGGGTAATGACCAGATAAAGGTGAGCATATTTACCTCCTCAAGATTTATCATCTCTTTGTGGTGAACACACTATAGACTGATAGAAAAAAAGGAAAATGAAATAGGGCCAGGAGAGTGAAGGGGAAGGAGAGGTACTGGGGTTAAGTTGGAGCCAATTGTATTCCATGCTTTATGATTATGGCAAAATGAATTCCAATATTATGTATAATTATGAAGTGCTAATCGCAAAGGATATTGGACTACATCATTTTTGAAATATGCAGGACCTTATCATGACCGTACTGTGCGACAGAACAGCAGAAACAATTCCTCCTACCTGACTACAACTTGGTACCCTGGGGCCAACCTTCTTCTGTCCCTCCTGCTCCCTTACCCTTTCCAGCCTCTGGGAACAGCATTCTGCTCTGTGCTCCTGTGAGAGCAACTTCTGTACCTTCTACATGTGAGTGAGGTCCTGCAGTACTTGTCTCTCTGTGCCTGGCTTATTGCCCTTCATACAGTGACCTCAGGTTCTCTCCATAGGATCGAGGATTCCAATTTTATAACAATTATATATAAAAGAGTTAAACCTTATTGAACACCTTCTTCAATTGAGCACATGAGGGGATCTGTTCGTAGTAACGCTTTATATCTTTATATATAACTAGGAAAGAGGAGGTCAAAGTCTCCAGAGCAGATATAGTTAGCAGTAGATGGAAGCACTAATTATCTTCACTTTATCAATATTTAGTGGGCACAAGTATTAAACTATTACACTGTAGCCATACCTACATGCAATTATTGCATATTAATTATACTTCTTTCTGAAATTGTTTAAAAACATAGAATTCTTGACTATCCTGTTATGATCATTACACACTGTATATATGATTTGAATTAATATGCCATACCCTATTAGTACAATTAAAAATAATTATTAAATAAAATATTTTAAATTATGCATGTCATAAATAATAAGATAATAGAATAAATCAGACATTATTACCCTATGTGCATACATGAGTATATGACCTATGTTACTATCTACATGATATAAACCCGATGAATGAGAAGTCATACTCCATTTATGCATAATGTGTCAAAGTGCATTCTGCTGTCATGTATAATGATTGGAACACATTTTTTAGAAATACATTTAAAGAATTGATAAGAAATTTTTAAAAACTAGGGAAAATTGTCTTGTACACTGTGGATATTTGCTGTATTATTATAATCATTTACCTACCTATATTTACCCTATGATATCAGGTTGCAAACCTTGAAGATGGGCAATAAGATTCATCCTAAAATAAATAAAATTTAAATTAAATGATACCCAAAAAGGTAAAATAGACATATACAAACAATTTCAAAACAATTACAAGTTTTGAAATGCAAGAAATAATAGTCTATGTGCCTCAGTCAATAACCTAAAATAATAGATACAAATGCTTAGGAACATGAAAATGTGCAAAATTTCATGAGTACACAGAGAAAATCACATTAAAATCGTCAAGGGGACTTTGAATACCTTGCCTTGGTGTTTGCTGTAGTCCTAAATCTGCAACACCCAGAGACAGAGCAATTCTTCGTTGGGGAGAACCCCAGAAGCAGGAGTCTGTATCAGAAGCTCTTGTTTCCTCTGAGCTTAATTTGCTCTTTCGTGAAGCTTCTCTAGAGCCATCCTAACATGAAGTCTGGGACCATGGCCTGCCCTCTGTGACCTCAAGCTCATTGCCTGGTGACCATAAGGTCCTGCTACCTAGTGAAGGAGTGACCAGGAACCTCCAGAGACCATTGTATCAGATGGTCCAACAAAGTGGCAAATGCTGAGTGGAGTTTTAAAATCTTAATTTAATATTTATGGACAAGTGATTGTACATATCCATAGGGTGAACATGATGTTTTTAGACCATGCACACAATGGGTGCTGAACAAAATAGCTTAAAAAGACTTTCTCTCCCCACATCATTACCTTATGATTCCAGGTCTGCGCTCCTCACTTCAGATCTTCCTAAAACACATATCAAGATCTGGGCACTGCAGCCCCCGCCCACCCCCCACTCACTGTGGAACACCAGGACTGGGTCTTCCTATTCACCTGTGTTCCTGTATCTCTATCCAGCCTCCCCTCGTCCTCCTCCTCCTGCCTCCTTACCAGCCTCCAGTGTCACTATTCTATATGTAGATTGAGGCTCCTTTGGCCTCCACATAGGAGCACATGAGTGTTTGCATCTGTCTGGCTTCTTTCATGGGACATAGTAGCCTGTCCTTTTTATTCTCTTGTGAATGAAAGGATTTCATTCTTTGAATTCTGAAGAGCCCTCAGTTATAAATATACTATATTTGACTGCTGAGAAGACTGCCTCAAGAACATTGGGAAGTGCAGGTACATCTTTGGAAGCTAATTTCCTTCCCTCTATTTTGTTATTATCAAGATCTACCTCCATGAGACTGTATTTTTATTTTTTTCTGCCTCAAAGCCTCTTAGTTAACCTGCCCATGTGTAGATTTGTGGCTCAGACACTTTCTTCTTTCTCTTCAACCATCTCCTAATTTTCATTATATTCAACTAAAATTCACACAGGAAAAACTCCTTATCAGGAAGTGTACTAGACATCACGGTTGCAGGCACAGATGAGATAGGGTTCAAAATTTCTAGGAATTTATAGTGAGTGAGTGGAAAACTTCAGTAAGTTGAGGATGATGGGAAGGAAAGAGGATCCCAAAAAAGCAGGAAATCTTCAGAGTTGGTCTCATTTGCATCACCTCAGAACACAGATCTGCAAGTGAGTTTCCAGGGCAACAAGGATCCCCAAGCATCACTTGTGAGGTTACGTGTTAAAGGTATAAGATTTTAGTTGTTAAAATTGAAGACAATCCCTTATTGTAGATAACTGGGAAAGTGCCCTGTTATGTTCACACAACTGAGATTTCCTGGTGAATGTTAAAAGGCTGATCCAATGTGGAACCTCAGGAACAGTCCTGAGGACAGGGAGCTCCTGTAGGGAGACCCCAGGGAGGAGTGGCTTTAAAACCTGTGAAAGCTGA